GCTGCAAGCGCGTTCGCTTCAGATCAGCCCTGCCGTCTTCGGCAGTGTCGTTCCGGCCTTGGGTAGGTGCGGGCTTTCAGGGTTTAGCAAAGGGAACCTGATGGAAACGTGGGGCATATGGCAGGTCTCTCTGCAGCAAATAGAAACTCATTCTGCTGAGCTGTGTATCCAAGCCCCTCAACTTTGTTTTTTCCCCTGTAAGTTTTTTCAGCGTTTCTTTTTTCTGATACCAAGTCACTTAGTGTCAAGATTCCTCACCCTAATTCTGTACTATGGCTCGTTTTCTTTCAAGGCCGTAGTGTAAGCTGTGGCGTTTGCTTAGTTCATTGCTATTGAAAATTAGGAACGTGTCAGCATTTCCATTCCAATCTGTTTTTCAGGACTTGTCAGTTGGTTGTAGAATGTCACCCTAGGCTGCAACATGGTGTACAAAGTCTAAAGAAACTTCTTCTTTTATTAGTGGGAGCTAAAAGAGTGAATAAAATATCTGGGTTTACTGATTTCAAAAGCGTTTTATATGCTTGTATAACATGAAAGCTGATTTAATTTAAAAGAATAAAATGTGATTTGACAAGCAAATAGTCCTGACTTTTATCTTGTCCCTTTATTGCATCATACAAAAGGATAAAAACGGTTAAGAACTTAACATTTGAAAAGTGATTCTGATACTTTATTCCTCTAAAAATAAATTTCGTAGCACATCTTTATGGTCCCACATATATATTTCTAAGACAAAGTAAAAGGTCTGGTGAGTTCCATGGTATGTTTCTTGTTTTAAAACACTTTAGATGATATGGGTTTTTGTCACAGCGACAAGGTTCAGCTTTCAGAGTACATGCTACTTAAGCCAGTCTAGATTACTGCTCCTTTTTTGCCCTTCCGCCTTAGTTGGCCATGCTCTTGAGCCATCGCTTGCAATGTATTGTCTTTGAACTAGGACCAACTGCACTGATTCAGCTGGGAAGTAACCTGCGGGAGGGTAGACTGGGTTCTTGTTACAGCCATATCAGTTCCCGTAGTACAAGAAGCAGCAGAATAACACAAGGTGAAAAGAAGGAAAAGAGCAGCACCCTTTGGGTGCTGCTGCCAGCCCCCCTGGGCTGTGGACTCAGCTTCAGAAGCCATGTTCATCTCTACACTGCTGGGCTAAATGTGTGCAGATATTGCTGTAGTTACCTGTCACCAGCTTGAGGGACAGGTGGAAGGACTCATAAATATGGGCGTAGTTCTAAATACCCATACAGAAGTCTGCTAATAGCTTATGCTGTACTGCCATGATTCTTGTAGTGGCCTCTCCTGCACATTGTCAGAGGAGTACATAGTACCATGTCTAGGGTCAGTAAGATAGTCTGAATTTCTGTCACTTCCTCA